TACGTGATGCAAAAATACAACAAACGACATATTTCGAAAGTTAATGCTTCAAGTTTTGAAATAAGCTCGCAATCAGGTTGCACGATTCTTTTCTTTCAAAATTATAAGCTTGAATTTTCAGTATTCGAACGTTAATCCGAGTCCAGTGCTTAAATTGCAGAAAAACACCTATCCATTCGTTTCATAAAATTCCTGACATAAATCCGTCTTTGCACTGTGATCATATGTGGTCAGAATGTCGAATAGTATCGATGATACAATAGACTTTCGCTACACATAATCAATTTGTTAATTTCAAACGAATTGTTTTAGTCGAGGGATTATTTTGAGAAAGTTAATTAAATATCTGAGAAGTAAATTAAATATCATTTTCGAGATGTGTTCGAAGCATCATTACGTGAAAATATAGTATTCGCTCTGTGAATTCGAGAAGGTGATTTGTGTTCGACGTTCTCGTGAGAAAATGGGAACGCGGGCTTGAAAAATTATGCTTCAGTATGATAAGAAATAGAACGCGATGATAAGAAATAGTCTGCGGATATGAGAAATGGCTTCGGGACGAAAAATATCGGCTTCATTCATGGAAATGCGAATACAGATATTGTTCGTTTAGTGGAATTTTCATTCTAAACGTTTGATTAATAAAATTGCTATCAATGATGTTAGAATGTTTCTTTTTTTTTTCAACAATGAATAAACTTATCTAGAAATAAAAATCACTGGAGACTGGATTATAATTAACAGACCTGAGAAATAAACTCGAACCCATTGATAACGTAATATTCACCACGATTCAACACAAAGTGACCGCTGCGAGCAAGGAAAAACCGTGAAAAACCCTGCGTTTCGCGATACAAAACTCTTCTAGCGGAAATACCGAAGCTTGGCCGACGAAAGAAAGCGGATGGAAACAGATTTCGCGAGCCTCCTCAAAGCCAAAAGAGGCAAACGAAGGAGAATAGGTGTACGGGATAGGGCCGCAGTTGCGCGAATTCGACGTCTCGTTACAAACGAGCGTCTTCAATCTGTATTTCAAGCACGCGTTATCGGTGCACCGATCGAGAAACTGGATTCAGAGCGCGAGAAATACAGAGGGAGAGAAGAGGACGATAGAGTCGAGGAGAATCGTTTTACGAACAATTGACGAACCATGCGAAAAACTTTTAGATGTTCGCGTTCTTTGTATCCAGCTTCTTTTTTTTTTTTTTTATTCTAAAATATTAGGTTGTATAATAAGTTCATTTCAATTTCTTAATATTGTACTTTTATATAAGGTCTATTTAGACAATGATATATGCATTATTTTATTTTATTTATTAATAAGTATTAAGTAACTTTTCACTGGTTCAAAGCTTTTTTTTTGTACAGAAAATGTTGTGTGTGTGTGTGTCTGTGTAATAAACACATATATATTTATTTATGTATTATATATTTTTTTATACATATAATTTTTATTGTATTATGTATTATATAATTATATTATTATGTATTGTATAATTTATTGTATAATTATATACATTTCATAAGATAGTTTGCTGTCATAGCTGAACGTCACTCTATTTTTCAAGTAGAATCAGATCTTTTCTTTTTCCATTATATAAAAACAAATATTTTCATACTTTTAC